AAACAAGCTATTCAGGAGACCAAGGAATGCAACCCATTCTGAGGCCGAATAATAGAGTAAACAATTGAGGTGTTTCAGTAGGAGTCCTTCTTTTGAAAATCAATACAATCAGTTTACTCGTCACATTTACTATTCCCTGAGAGCTATTTGAGATGTGTTCAAAGTTCCAAGAGGCTGGCCTTCACCCTCTTCAAGGATGAAGTCACAAAATACGCTTGTATCAAGGCGGGTGAATACACCCGCAGGTGTACATTATTTCACAGAGCTATGGAGAGATGGACAGATGGAGGATGACAAGGTCTAGCCACAGCTGACCTGCTCTGGAGGACCTTTCATTCGCTGATGTTCTACAAGTAAAGTGTGGTGACTCACAACACAGAGTAGCGTCCTTCATAAACATGCGGCAAAGAACAAAACACTATGCATGCTATGAGGCCTGCAGCTGGGAGGAAGAGAGAGGAAGAGGGTTCTGGCTTCTCCACTTTTAGACTGCTTTATACTGCACACCATTCCAAAGCCAAGCACGGCCTTTGGTATCAAAGCCATTGGGCATCCTTGCTATAAACCATATTTACAAGAACAAGGAAGAAACCAAAAGAGACCAGGATTCTCCCTGTGTCAGCCTTCCCAGGTAGACCAGACAGGAAGCGCCACCAGATGAGCTAATTCTACTTTACTGTAAGGCTACGTTAACAAAAGCTTGCAAGGCTGGAAGTACAAATCTCCCACCGTCTCTTTTACAGCCTGATAAGTTAGGGAGGATCCTTTCTGAGTTTCTTTCTCTGCCCATTATGCAGCTGCAGGCTGTGCCCCCTCTTATCTGACTATTCCCTAGGCAGCTTCTCTTCCCCCCTCCCAAAGTCATGCTCTCATACCGTTACACCCAGTCTTGATGTGTAGCACTCCCATCCTCACTCACCTCCGATTATACTAGCTAGGATTGAGGAAAGCAATATCTGGAAGCCCACCTTCCCTTTCTTGAGCTAGCTTTTATTTCTCTAATGCTGGGCTGCATTTTATCTAGAAGCATTTCATCAGCACATTAAAGGCATCTTAATGATTTGCAAAGTTCACTGAGGGAGGGGAGCAGAAGAAGAGCTGTAGGCTTATTTAATTCAGGATTTCATTCCCACATTGGCCCAAAAGATCCTCTGGGTAACCCATTAGTGAAACATCAAAACTCCTGTTCTTGGAGAAGTCTGTCAATGGTTGTGGTGGCCTCCAGCATGAGTGGCCATCTAGCTCTGAACACAAGGTCCTGGCAAAACACAGCAGAAAGGATTTATTGCCCTCGTGTCTTCCTTTGGGGACTCTCAGCAAGCCACTGTGATGGAAAGGATGCTGGGCTAAGTAAGCTTCTGATTTGATCCAAGTAATACTTCTTCTTATGCATGACCACTTCAACTAACAAAAGATTTGTTTCCAGATACAGCCATTTAGAAGAGCCATTTTCTCTCCTTACGCCATATGACAGATAGCACTTGTCACGACAGGGACATTCCTCTCTAAAAACAGTCTCGTCTCATTTTTTAAACCAACATTTTTATAGCACTCATACATACCTGCCTTTATGCTGGCTTAACCAAGGGCAACTCACGTGACACTTTAAACCAAGATTTCGTTAGCAGGCAAGAGAGCTTAAACAAAAGCATTATGGCATGCATGCGAATTCCCCCCATTTCCCAAACACACCAGCCTAAACCCTTCTGCTAATTTTGTCTGAATGTATTGCACAAGAAATACATTCTGGAAGTAGGTTAACGGGGGGTGATGCTGGAGGAAGGAGGGGGAAATAGAAAATATTTGCTTACGGCGTCCAGTTGCCCTCTAACTGTCTGATATGACCTGTGATCATTGGAGGGTTTCATTAAGAAGCAACAGGAAGGGAGATGCCAGGCAACAGCTTTGAAATTAACTTGCCAAAACTTCCCATCAATATTATGACAATTCCTCCCTCATTGTTCAATGACCCGACATGCTGTTTGACAACATTAACATAACTGTGCAAAAACAAAAGCTTGCCACGTTGGATATGAAAAGCCAGATTACCTTCTGACAACAATAAGAAAGAAAGAGAGAGAGATGAACTGAATATTCACAAATTTCCACTGCCTGGCTGAGATTTGCACATTTGACAAGGAGAAATCTTCCATCAAATAGGAAATCAAATGGAACGAATAGGGAAACCTCTTTCAAAACATTTATTTCTCCCCAGCTGGATTCATAGGCCATGTTCAGCCTTGCTTTTTACATTCAGTAGAGTAAGCTAAAGGCCTCACATGTCATGGCATGCCATAAACATTGGTTGATCAACAATCATAACGAGACTTACACAACACAGTAAACCTAAACCAAAATCAACCAATACATGATGGCTTAATACAACACATGCATGTTTGTCAATGCGCAAAGACATCCCTGTGGTTTACAGTCCACAGTTGTTGGAATTACACAATGCACTGAGCTAAAACCAAAGAAAGCATGTTAGGAATTAGGATGGCTATGCAGTACTTTGGATTCAGTCTCTACATGGCGCTAAGGAGTCAACACACTTAGAGCAGTAGTGCCTCTTCTGCAAATCGGTCTGTCTTTGTACTGCCAGGCAATTCTGAAACATCATTTGGGGAAAATGAATCCCAAACGCCGTATACCTCTGTCATCTAAAGCCTTGAGTCAGTCTAGCTTCTTCCTTTCCCACTCCATAGACAGACAGATTCAGATATATCGCTCTCCCTAAGGGAATGCTTTCTATGACTTCAGGGAATGGCATTGCTATGTTCCATGAGATGAATGTTTTCTGTGTTTTTTCTTTAAAACGTGGGGCCAGAATGGGATTCAGGAGCATTGACGTTCTGAGCTTCTATGATCAAACCCAGGGAAAATTGAGCTAACTCAGAGCAGGGGTGAGAAACAAGATTTGCTCCAGATGTTCCCTCCCCCCAGAGTTCAATGGCAGGATGCTGCAGGAAGCATTTCTAAAAGTAAAACAGATGGTATGCCATATATGAATTCTGAATATAATGCAGAGATTGGCAAATGGTTCCTGGGGACACCATGTGCCTCTAGCTCCCTCCCTTCCCGCGTTCTGGGTTCCACATCCTCCCTGCTTTTATCATCATTAATAATTGTTTTCATTCATCCGGTTGAACAAATAAATCAATGGGTTCGATTCAATCAATAAATAGCTGGCAGGCCTGCGAAACACAGTGCTGGTTTCCAGGATCTACCTTTACCTCCAAGAACATTTGTGGACCTCACAGAAAGATTGCCACTTCAACTTCCCTTTCAAGTTTCTAGATGTCATGATGACATCAAGAAACATTACAAAGGAAGGAGATATTTTAAAAGGAAATAAACCAGCAAACGGAGCAGATGAGCAAATACGTTGCAACCGATGTTTGCTCTTCAAGTTTCAAAGCCTTATATTTTCCTCCTAGAAAAGCTGAAGGTGATCAGAAGGGTTTAAATATCCTAAAGCACCAACCTTTCCTTTATCTCCTGCATTCTCCCCCATACATCCTCTCCAACTCAGAATCTTGATCATCTTCCTTGATTTTTTTTTTAAAGAAGTGCTTTGATAATGCACCTCTTTCTCTGGAGCCTTTGACCTGTAATTTCTACCTGGCCTCTTCTCTCCATCTTCCTTCTTTCAGTTAGTAAAACACGCAGGTGACCTTCTAAAATAATTACTCTACACAGACAGGATGCTGAACTGCTTTATTATTACAAGCAACTCAATTGGTTAAGGGCAGAAACATCTTCAGTCTGCAAATCCCAGCTCCCCCCCTCCCCACTCTACATTATTAATTAGATTCCACTCATAATCTAACAGTTGAGGTCATGGGTGTGTGCTTCCTTGATACTCCACATCAACACAGCTGTCCCTTCTGGATTTCCCCCCCTAATTATCCTCCAAGGGTTACAAAGGCCAATGAGTGTCCTGGACCACCCACTCAAGAACAAACTGCTGCTCTTATAATGTGACACAAACAGCCTTAAGATTTGCAGGATCATCAAGCTCTCTTTGGTTATCCTGAGGGCAGAGAAAGGACTTGCTGAATCGGCACCCAACCTGGAAGAACGCTCATCGTGCTAGCTGTCATTTTTACAGCTGCTTTTCACCATCTCGCCGACTCCTCTGCCGGCCATTGAAAGCAAACGGTTCACAAACAAAACTGAGCATCTCTAGCCATGAACGTGCAAGCGTGCGTCTGTGGGTGTACCACCACCACCGCACACACATTCTCTACATCCTCCGTGGCCTTGGTTAACAAAGGCTCGCTTTTCCCTTTTAACCCATCTGCAAGGCCAGTCCGTTCCTAAAATAAACATCACCTTTTTTGAAGGTTGTGGAATTGCATCCAGTCCAGATCGGTGCCTGGGATCCTTTATATTGTTCTTAAATAATGCTTGCTGCTTAAAACCCACCTGTCCACTTTGTACTGGAACAGACGAGACTGTACAGACTTCAGCTGAAGCAAGGGTAAGCAACTAGCACCCGCAAGGCTGTTTGGCCCTCAAGCCCCTTTGGGTGCAGCCTTCTGGGTCTTCTCCCAGATGGGATGGCAAAGATCAATGGAGGGGTGATTTTAGTGAAATGCCCTAAAACAGGCTCAAACCTCTTTTTAAAAAAAATCTCACAGGGGTGGGGAGTATGGAGGGAACATGCCTGAAGAGATTGTACCATCTTCCACTCACTGCAACTCTGCCCAGTACCAAATGTATGGCTGAGGAAGGAGATTTAGGAAGGAGATTATGATCTTTTTTCCCCCATGCCTTTTTTTAGTTCTTATGGAGGTTAGGCTATCATTTTTGAAGACACTGAGTGTTTATGGGTTTCTAACCACCAGAACCTTTGGGGAAAAGGGGGGATATAAATAACTAAAATCGAAAGTTACCGATGCACAAACACACACACACCCAGAAAAATCTGCACAATACACATTGCAAATGCATCATGTACATGATTCATAAAGAGGTCTGGCAGGAACTAACCCTACCTGAATGTCATCTGGAAGACCTGCCCTTGGTTCACATGTTGGGTCCTGTTGTTGTAGCCATGAAGCATCTCTCCAAAGAGAGTATCGTTGAAGTTCACATCTGGCTTGAGGCACTTGGGGCCCTCACAGATGTCTGATAACAGGAGGCAGGACTTGCCATCTGGAGCCAACTTGTATTCCTCAACACAGCTGAAGACCAAGCAGAAATAAAAATCCTTAGGACCACTCCAGCCACAACTGACCAAGTCAGATCCAGCTAAATTGTAATGTAGCTATCCCACCACTGGTGTCTTCCAGATGGGATGGGATGATAACTCCTAGAATGTCAAAAGGGCATGGTTGGAATGGGGTATTTCAAAGTCAGAATATTTTGCCCATCTCTCCTCTTTGATACATAACTTTGATTAAATAATAAAAAGTGTGACTCATTTTTCTTCGATGATTATAATGGTAGACATGTCCCTTGTCAACTTGCTGAGTATTTCCAAGGGAGAACCTATGTCTGCACAGGGCCCTGTTTCCTGATTTCTTCTGAAGCTCCCTTAGGAGGGCTATGTCAAAGTCCTTCACTCGTCTTTCAGGGTTTTCCATGGGTGTCATTTTCTTCTGTTTTTGGAACAGAAGTTATGCTGTGGGCACCCCATTTCCCAAGTGGCTGAGTAGGAACAGAAGTAACTCTTTTAGGGAACATCACAGTACAGCTTCAAAGATGGCTGGAAGTGGGGGAAAAAATCTATTCTGGAGCCAAATGGCACTCCAAGAACCAAGCCATCCATTTCATAATATGCCCACTCTAGATAACCAACTGCCAACAAGACAGGTTAGGGAGAATGCATGGTTTGCTTAGAGGCTCTCCACTTTCTGTTTCTGCATCTGTCTTCACATCACTGGTAATATGGTCTGTTAATTAAAGAAATATTACTCAACTGGCTCATTAAGTCATTCAGTTGGCTGTTTTTTTTAGCAGAAAAATAAATGTAAACAAAACCTAGATATAGGGTGCAAAATGTCAATGTCCCTGTATTCATCAATGTGGAATTAGAAATGCTCTGATGATTTGAAAAGCAGGGCTCTACACTATCAACTGCATCCATAAACTTTATCAAAGCCACTGGGGTTCTCCAGTACCCGTTACTGGAATCACTGCACATTTCACTGGCTGCATTTTCCTTTTGATTCCTTCTCCCTTCTTTTGAGCCATAAAACAATTCACACAAAACCAGGAACTGATGAACCCAAACCCCCAGGGAACTGTGAAGGGCTGCAACACAACAAAATTGCTGCCACCTGAACACCTGGAGGTGTCAGGATTTGACAGATGTTTCATGGAGTCGCTTTCAGGAATGTGCTTCTCTGGTGCAGAAAACCACCCTTTGCATTTTGCTGAAGGTCAAAATGAGGTTGAGGCGCTAGTAGTGGCCATGAAATGAAGAAGCAAATAAACGGGGGGAGGAAATGCAGGGAAAGGAAGTGGAGATCATTTAAACACATATGTCCATGAGAACAGTACTGAATAAAATACAAGAGTTTGAAGCTGACAGATCTCCCTTCTTATTAGTGAACGTGTGATCAGAGTGCACATTGCATGAAGAACGTGGGAGACTTCTGTACTTCATACTGATGTTTCCAAAATATAGCATATAGAATTAATTGCTTCCTGAAACATACTCCTCTCCTGATAAGCCATCTATCTACAGTCTGTCTTAAGCCAATATTTAGCGTATACTCTCTTTCATCATCATCCTGAAGATCAGCTGCTATCATGAAGCCAACCTATTCCCAAGGAAGATTAGTTCTAAAATAGGAAAGGAATGAGATCATTCATGACAACATATTGCCTACAGCGAAGGTTCAGGCACTCACTTCTGGAACAACATATGTGTATAGAGGTGAATTTAAATTGCCCCCCTCCAATTTACACAGTTTACACATTTATACTTCTTAACATGGTATCACACTGATTGGCCATCTACTGTAAAGTTGTCATCAATGCTGAATATTCAGTTGCTGGTGGATTGGCCCAAACTGCCAACAAATTACCCTCAAAGTGTTTGAAAAATTATGGAGATAAGTTCAGGGAATAATGCAAAGAATGAAAGAACAGGGGCATGGGTGTGGCTCTTTAATAGTTTAGCTCTTCTCCCCCAAATCCTTCCTTTCTTTTTCAAAAGGTCTCTAGGAAATGTTAAGAAAAATCAACTCAGCGCTATACATATTTCAAATTCAGGGAAAGAGACTTAACTACTGTAACCAGAAGAAGGGATCCTAATTCAACAAAATGAGCTTAATGAAGAGTTTCGTAAAGCCCTAAACACACACAGAGAATGAGCAGGCAAACAGAACATCGGCTGCATTTTCTCATCCTGAAACCTGAAAAGCAGATTGGGAAGCAGGATATAATTCAGAGAGAAGGAATAGTTGAAAGCACCGTCTTTTAGCATTTTGCTTCCTTAAAAGAAAATAAATGGGCCACAAGCCCATATGGGACCTTGACTATTATCTGCCCCAGGTAAGATAAGCCTGTTCAACTGATTGAAGACGGAGCTCTAGGCTAGCTAGTTAAACTGGTCCATGCGGTATAACGTGACCAAATTTGTCTTTGCACAATTCTCCCCTGCCAAAAAGGCACATGTTTTTCTACCTCATTCTTTGGAATGTCTTTAAAATGTCTTTGGGGAGTGTGGCTGAGCTGATTTTGTTTAATTTTTGCAATGTGCCCAGAGGCTTCATTGTGTGTAACATTTCTCTCTATTCCTGTTTGGTCTCTGGCTGCCTGATCTGGAACAAAGGCTCCAAGTGTAGAGTTCACTCATGGTAGAGCTCCCTGGCTGCTACATATCCCTATCTGAGGGTGGGGGGAACTCCATGGGATGAATCCCTTCCTAAAGTTTTAAGGGAAAGGGTGCAAGTCTGGGGGCTGCAGATCGTTGGATAGCTGACTATAAAATGAAAGTTAGACCATTGTCATACATATCTCAGCACCTTATAACTAAATAAATGCAAGAGTTCTGCACCCGACCCTTAAGAATATATTCTCCTTCAAGAGAAAAATCTGAAAGCAATGTCTTTTTCACCAAGATGAAGTGTCATGGCTGCAAAAAAAAAAAAGTAGAACTTTTTTTTTCCAGCACAGTACAAGCTAGCCCTCCATCAAATGGTCAAGCACTCTCAGGGAAGGTGTACGCAGAAAGGGAATTTCTGTAAAATTGAGAAAAAGTAGGAGGGAATGCACCCGAGAGACTGTCCGTGCCAGCATGAGGTCCACATCTGATAAGCTCAACTCCTTCAAAGGAATTTTTTCCATGCATGCTGGAGGGAAACATAAAGCAAAATATGGGCATGCATGTATGCATATATGAATGAATGTTCCAAGGGCTTGGCCCTTCTTTCTTACCCGCAGAACATGTGGATGGTGCTGGATGTTGGGTCCAACAAGAGAGGGAGAGTTTGCTGAAGGCACAGCTGTTCACAACCACCATTGAAACCATCTGAGCAATCAATCCCCTTTGAGTAGTCATAGCACCCAGTCCCGTCTTTCATGGGTCTCAGGTCCTCGGGGCACTGCATGAAGAAAAGAAGGAAAGGATGGTTCAGATGAGGAGGGCGACAAGTGTGTTGGGAAACCATAGTGTTTGCTGCTGCGGGAAGGATGCAAAATACTGGCGAATGGGGGACAAGGATCACTGGTGGGCCTGCAGGATGGAAGCAAAAAATTCAGAACACAAAAAGTAGTCCATCCTCCAAGACTCCTTTTTTGTGGAACCTCCTTGATTTGGCCTACCTTTGGGTGAGGAACCCTCTTTGATTCATAGCATGTGTTTCCCACACATTTACAGAACCCTTCAGCAGAGCAGAAAGCAAAGGGACAATCAAAGACCCCAAACCATTACAGTGTGTTGTAGATATCCTCTACCCAACAACCCTAAGACCTCTATGGTAGCTTATAACTTGGCAAGGGCAATTTATTGTAATGTGTCAAAAGTAAAAGATAACCCAGCTCTTTTACGAAGTATGGATAATGTTGTCTGCAAGAGAAGAGGTGGATTGGAAACCAACCCTAGGGCATGGGTAGAAAAATGAGTAAGTGGGAGCAGATGAAAATATTTAAGGGAACACTGATTTATCCCCTTCACTATTCCAGGCAAGAGCGAATGACTTGGTGTTTCCCAAGTTCTCACAAATCTTTGGAAAAAGCATTTATCCCCAAAGTTGAGATAGAAATAATTGTAATAAACCAACACTGTTACTTAAGATGTTGAGTGAAGTCCAGAAAGACAGCAGTTGCAAACCCTACTCCTGAAAGGTCTAAATTTGCTTTAAGGAACAGACACCTCAGATGCTGGGATTCAAATAGAGCTGTTCACATTTTCTAACTAGGGAGCTAGTCTCCCTTAGAAGAGCTCTTAATGCATTTATTCCAGCTGAAAAATTTGACAGGAGTTTTTAATTTCAGTTTCCCAGCAAGCATTTTCCAATACCAAGTGGTTAAAGCGGGCATTTGCCAGCATTAATCAATGGCCAGGCTTATTAAGCAGAACTCTTATCCCCTTTCTCTCTCTTATTTACGTCTCTGAAACCTGGGCAAGAAGCAAGGAGAGGGAATGGGGGAGCAGGGAGGCCATTCTCCTTGGGTGGCAGGGTGAAGATAACAAATGGGGGCTCAACAACGGTTCCCAATTAGAATGCATTATGGGATTCCTGAAGATGAGCTAAATCTCAGCCAGCATAGAGCTGTGAGAAATCAAGTTATAAATGGCCTCAGCCAAGCAAAGCCAAGGCTAGAAGACCACTGCATTTTAAATAATAGCAACAAGTAAATCCATATACATATATATATATTTGCAACCTCTGACCACCAGATATTTGACCATCCCTGTCTTGCAGGGTGCAAACCCCAAGGTTTTCCTTTAAAAAATATGTTTGCATGGAGCATATGAACGAGAACTGTTGGGAGTCAGGCAGCATATAAATGTAATTTATTGTTATTATTCCTTCTTCTGCCAACAACTCTCTTGCAATCCCAACCCCGTCCTCTGCATTCTGAACCAGAATTGAGAAACCAAAAGACCAGCCAAACCCATAATAAATTTCAACCAGATCTGGCCGTGCAAAGATCCTGGCATGGTTTCAAGGCCTGCAATCATTATTTATGGGTTAAATAAACCTGGATCATCACGATTAACTTAATATCTGCAAAACTATTTCACACTTCCAAATGCTCAGTCTCTAATTGCAAGTTCTTAATCATCTTGCTCAAAGGAGCCTGGGTGCCAAGGGGAGGGGGGAGTTTGAGGATTCTGCCAAATGATAGGGGCTAAGCAGGCGCTGGCAGGTGTCAGCTCTGACCTCTGCTAGTATATGGGTTGGAAGTGTGTGGGGAGCATATCAAGTGATTTTTCTCTGGAACGATGAAATTGACCCTGATGTCCTTCTGTTATTTAGGTGACGATCTTCATAGACAACTTTCCACTCAAGAACCAGCTACTGAATTAGCGTACTGGGAATAGTGGGGCAAAACTCTCTCTTGATATGGTTTCCTAATTCTCAAATGGGGAGTTTTGAAGGGCACACAGTCATCAGAATGCCTCTGGACACTATGGCAGATGAGGACACTTGGAAGCACCGTTCTGAGATGCAACCACTCAACGTTTTCAAGACAGGGCAATCATCCCAATTAGCACATTGGTGCTTTAAGAGAGGGGAGCCTTCTTCTCCCCAGCTTTAAGTGCCAGGAAAGAACAACTGCTGGAAAGTAAGTGGTTTCTGAAAATAAGGGCAAATAGGAAAAAGAGAGAAAAGGCCAAGGACAATTCTAGGTGTGTCAGGGGTATGTCAGCTATGGGAGGCTATACTTTCATGTTCTAAGATTGCCTCTCTCTTGTGGATAAAAATTATGCTGGAAATGAACACTTTGCTTTGCAGTACATTGCCTTCCCATTCATTCATTCAATCAATAAATAGTATTTTAAACAAACAAATGAACAAAAATCAGATGGGGTAGGACCTGCTGGCACCACGCTGCCCGTATTTTATGTCTGCTTTGGTTTGAAGCGCACTTTCCTGGGGAGATATTGGCAACTCTACCAATGATCTCTAGGGCGTCGCTGGTTGCCCCTCTGCGTCTGCCCTTCAGAACTGGTGGAAAGCTAACCCATTAATGCCCATTTCCTGAGATTGCCGATAGAATCTGATCAGTTACCGCTAGGATTGATCTGCCTGCCTTGAGCAGCAGAGAAGCAATAATTACTGTGAGTTTTAATCAATCCTGCAGCAATTCAGCGGCAGTTCAATTTGTGATCTGCCTCTCTGGTGACACAAGGCTGGGAGAGGACTGGAAATTATTAGAAAATCAATATTCTGCTCAGCCAATAATTCTTTCAGGATAATCGCAGGCGAAGCCCTCTTCGTCAATGCAGCCCTGCAGCGACTTTCTCTGGTTGGTTGGCTGGCTGGTTGGTTTGATGGAGGAATAGCAAATTTTGGGCCATTTATTCATTCAAACTATAGAACTGAGCTAAGAAGATGGGCGGGGGGAAGCTGGCAGCCTGAACAAACACTGAGAAAACCCATTCTCTGATCTTTACAAATGATACAGGAACCATTTCAATATGGGGTAGTCCGTTGGAATCCCTCTAATGTGTTTCTGCAACCTACCCATCAGAAGGCCTGAGACTCATTTGGCTATACTAAAAGTTTTTGCCAATTCCACTACAAATGGACTCAAAATGAGGGCCTTTGAAAACAAGATCAAAGGAACAGAATGCAAAAATGGCTCAGAAAAACAAACATCCACATTGTTCCTGGTTTTTTTTTTTTCCAGTTGCTTCCCCCACCAAAAATACACCCCATTAACAGCAAGATCATCTCACGCCTTTCCTACTTTCAGAAGATTCAGAATGCTTCATGACTGATGCTGCTTCCAAACATTGCAAGGACATAAGTGAAATAAATTGCCTAAAAGGTTTCTTCCCCCTACTTCTCTCTCCATTTTTTTTTTGTCCTATTAAAATCAGCTCTTTTTCTTATTAATCCTGAAAAAAAGAAAAGGGAACAAAATGTTTTAGTTGAGAGTAAATTGCCACCTTTTCAAATCGTCTATGGCACTCTTCTAAATATTAGCAACTGCTTTGCCCCGAGAGTGGTTTTGCTTCGTCAAAGCAAAGAGATGGTTTTGGCACTTCAGAAACACCTGGAAATTAGAAAGGAAGAGACAAAACACATCCAAACCATAATGCAGGCAAAACGATAGTAACCTCTTGCAGAAATTATGGGAGGACAAAAGGAGAAGCACTTTGCCTTAAGAAGAGAACAATGCCTTCAGTCCCCCATTTAAAACCAGACAATCTGCTAAAAAGCTACTGAAATCCTGGTAAAAACCTCTCTTTGGTATCGTTTGATGTCAAACAGTAACATCTGCTACTTCTACAAATTAGCTCCGTTGCCTATAAAACACCTTCCCTCATTGAACATGGATCAGCAGGGCATCAGCTGAGTTAGGAACTGGAGGACAGATTCCTACCAGGCTCCACAAGCTGAATAGTAACGCTTGGGTAGATCCATCAAGAAAGATAGCAGTAGGCAATTGAGTGCTGTGATAAAAAAAATCTGCATTTTCCAGCCGTTTGTCTTTCAATAGCCTTGTTGTTTGTTGCTGTTGCTCTTGTATCTGTGTCTTTTCCGAGCAGAAAATGTCAGTGAAATCCTTATGAGCAAATGCAGGGGTCTTACATTTATTTAGTCAAAAGATGGTCAAGGTCCTGCCTGTTTGGGTATAATCCTGGCCTCTTTCCCTTCCATTCAGTCCCAAGGAGGGATATCAGGAGGAACCTTAATTCATAGAAATTCTTCAAATCAGAAAACAGGGAGCTGCATTTTGACTGACAGATGGGTAACAGAAAGTAGTTTCTCCATGGTTCACAGACTTTCCAGCTTCCTGTTTCTCCTTTAAATCTCAAGGAAGTCATCAGGAAAAGAATTTCTCTCAGTGTCCTTTGTTGTTGTTTTTTTAATTTTCCTTTCAGATCAGAAGGTGAGAAAAGTCAGGGAGGCTACAGAACAAGGGAGAAACCCTCAGCCTCCTTTCAACCACAGGTTATCACCATTGAAATGAATTTGAAAAGAGTTCAGAAGGACTCTGAGCAGGTGAAGGAGGAGCAGGGGGAGGAGGAGGAGGAGGTTGGGTGGTAGTAGTAGTAAGAAATGAGAAAATGTTTGGAAAATAAATTTAGGCACTATTGCAGGATCGGAATATCATCGTTAACTGGGAAGATCCTTGAAGGTGCATGAAGAAAAGAGGACCATCAAGTCTGAAGCTAAGGATGATAATCAGACCAACATGTTTGCCATCTTCTCTTGTTCAAAGATTTATACTCCAGCTTTGTTAGTGCTACTGAAATGGACTATACTACATTTAACCCTGCACAAGATTATTTTGCACATGCCACAACTCTACTCAGTTTTAAATATTTCTAGTCTTTGAGGAGTTGGCATTGATGAGAGTGCATGCATGCAGACAAGGGGCCAAAGTAACATTTCCAGCAACAAATATCCAGGGAATTCTTCATCACGCCTCTTTTCTCCCGTGTCCTCATTATCAGCTTTTACCCTGAAACTTTTCATGTTTTCCAAAAGAAAGACATTTCACAAAGGTAAGCAGCATAAACTTTCTCTTAAACCACCCCTGACTCCGTTTCCCTTGTCTTTCCTATCTCTCTTCCTCACCCTTTATAAGACCAATCCATTATTATTCCTCCCGCAGATCTTCAAATGCATTTCTCTTCTAAGCCGAAATATCCTGAATCTTGCTAAGCAACCCCCGGTGCTAACAACCATGCAGAGATCAGGAATGATTCCACAAAAGAATGAATTCTCTTTGGTTATAATTAAATATTTCAGTTGCACATACATACGTTTCTTTTTATTTATGCATAGAGCGGAACCATTACCAGTCTTGTCCCCCTGGTAGGTAAAATAAATGAGTAAGAAGGTAAGTAAATAAACAAATAAATTAAAAAGTGTGTTTCTATGATAGGTATCTAGCATCAGAGCTGTCTTTGATTTACTGTTTGGGCTTCTTTCTGCTTCCAAGTGATCATCCTTCAGAATAGCAATTTCTTTTCTCTACTGTGCTGAAAACGTTCAGCCGTTCATGATAGCATTTTTTTTTTCCTACTCCAATGCTTTCTTGACTGGTCAGTTGTATCCAAACTGTACATATTATTTCAGTTTGCAAATGAGGGATTTAATCAAGGAGCGAGGAACCCTGAGAAGTTCCTGTTGTTGCTCGATTCCTGTACTCGGTCAGCCCAAATCAGTAGGGCCAAAGATAAAGGATGCTTGGAACAGTCTAAAAAAGGCCACAGGTTCGACCTCTTTGATCTAAAAGGTTAATGATGATTCTTCCCTGCTAAAAGGTTTGCTGCTTGGAAATCAGTACTTCTTCTTCCTATAGCAGACTGTTGCTGCAGGATTGGTCACTGCAGGCATAGGCTTTTTGGCAACATCTTTATTCACGTGCCTTTTGTCTGAAAGTAGATGCGAATAAACAGCCAGGTGGTAAAGAAATAAAACAGTAAGGCAGATATAAAATGACCTGCTTTGGTGTGGTGCAACAGCTGTTTATAATCTATGCTTTAGCAGCATCGTAGCTAGCATCTTGTACGTGTTGACACACCAAGAAAGCATTGTCAGGAGAAGGAGGAATGAAATACGGCAAGGAATATGATATTCCTAAGATATCCAGTTTGGCTTCACTCCAATTAATAATGTGGCGTGACATGCTGGGTGGAAAAAGAAAGGAAAGGGTTATACTTCGAGAGGGATCAGTCTGGAAGCCCAACAGCCATTTCATTGGAATCAGAAGCGAAGATGGTCTCTGAACACCATGACTTGGATTCCCAAAGAAGGTTCTCCAAAGTGACACAATGTCTACAACCTGAACATAACATCATACCTACCACACAGCCGGTGGAGTCCACTTTACGGTCCGACACGCATTTGAAGTTGCGGGTACAGCCTCCGTTGTTGTGAGAACAATCCCGAACAGGCCCAAAGGAGGAGAGTAGGTCGTTGATGGTCTCAAAATAGGTGGACAACATTGCTTCTTCCCTTGAGGAAAGAGAAGGTCTATTCAAGCCAGCTCAACCAACGAGTGAAAGAGTTGACCACCATTTTTATTTCCTTTGAATTCTTTCACAACTTCCTTACAAGGAGGGCTTTGGTTCACCCTCTAGCCTCCATCCATCTTGCAATTAAGCCAAAGTCAGAGTAATGCTTTCTCTCCCTCTTCACTCACTATTACTTAATCATCCCCCCTTTCGTAAACGCCTTCCTCTTTTCTTTCCTGACAACAATTCAAATTAGAAGTCTCTTTCAATGTATTTTGTCATGCATAACCCTGGTAAAGTGTTATCTAATTATTGCAAGAGCAGTTAAAATACTCAATATATTTTAATCATGACTTCAGAAAATAATGTCCAAATAAAAATACAGATGCCTACAGATGTGTCCTGTCCCCGGTTTCAAAGCAGCCAAGACCGTTTTCCTTCTTTATATATTAGGGATAGGTACATAAACCATGTCCCTCCCCACATCTTTGTGTGGGGCACCTCCAAAAGTTACTGCCAAATTTCTGATGCAATAAAAGGCAAAAACAGCCCATAAATGGGAAGCAATCATAACTGCATTTAAATATAAATGTACTTAGGTATCAATTGAAATTTAGATTTTTTCCCCTTCTTCCGTACACCCCATTTCTGTCATGTGGCCCGCCTATAACTCACAGGGTACCTTTGGCTCAAATCAGGCTGTCGATCCCTAATGGAGGTAGTCCGTTCCTCACTGAACTGATCATTTAGGGAAAAATCAAATATTTACACAAGATTAGCATGTTGGCATTCAACTTTTTGTTTTCGCTACAAGGAAGAGGATAAATACAAAGGATGCTGCTAGGCATGCTTGATACATTTGAGAGATGACTTAATCAGGAAGGACTGAAAAGAACAGGTTGGCGTATCAAGAGGAGGTCGAGAACAAAGGACTGTTTTGGAGAAAGAGGCTGGCAGACATTCTGCAGAAAATCTCACCGCTCCCAAGGAGGAGGCTGATGTGTAGGGAAGAAGGCACTGCAGATCTTTCCCCTGCTGATTCTCTAGCATCTGCTACAGTCCACACTCCGGGGACCATCATACAGGCTTTTTAGACATCATGAGTGATTTCAAACATATCGCCCTTATTACTGGATCAGGGGTGTAAAATTAGAGAGAGCTGGCTGGCTTTCTCCCCTGGCACATTTAAGCATTTTTTTTTTCCATTGAAGAAAATACAGCAAAAGATGGATCAATAAAATACCCCCTTCCATTCCATGGAAGACATGCAGAGAAGCAGTGGGTGCGAAGGAGAGCCAAATAAAGACAGGTTGCTTTGGGGGCAGAACAGCTACAGGAAGGGATAAAAAAGAAAAAGGGGAACAATAACAGAATGAGAGAGAGGGACTGTGGGAAGCAAAGCAATGGAAGCTGAGGGCCCTTAAAAGCAGAGAATTTTGTGTCATGTCAATAGGATTGTGTGAAAGGCATTTTCCAATTGAAAGATAATTTTTAAGGCAGAAGAATATTTTCTAGGGGTTGCGATAGTGTGTCTGAAAATGCAACACATGCCTTCGTTGGAATTTTCCCAACTTCACGCACCTACAAAGTCTTATGGTTTCGAGTCACACACTGCGACAAACTGTCATTCCAATGTTGGCTCCCGTCTTTCGATTGCTGCTGTGTCGTTCCATGCTAGCCTCTGAAACCTTCTATAGCAAATCTGGCTCAAACCCATTGACAAAGCAGAAGTGATAGATCTCCGTAAGGAAGATTAGGGTGGAGCAGAGAAGATCAAAGACGTTGTTTAACCGCCCACAAATGTAGCCTGGCTCATCTTAAAGAGAACCAGGTCCAAACTGGTGGTAGGTAAAGACTATTCATCCATGTCATGTGCCATCTGACAAGGATTGTGTAGAGGAGCCCCACTGTAATACAACACACAGCTTTTGAAAGGGTGATGGAGTGTGCCATGGACACATAGGATGTTGAGATCTAACCAAGTGGAAAAAGGAAGCCACATAAACAGAAAATCGGGAAGACTTGCAAACAATATCCCCATGAAATAAACACAGAACTACTCAAAAATCAAACTATTGAATGAATTGTGATTTCAGTCCCAGAGCTATGTGGGCAGTTATCCTCCATGCTGATGACCATTAAATTAAATAAGCCCTATGCCGGTTGACAGCTACATCCACAGTTTAGTTAGAGAACTTTCCTTCCGTACTACCTGTAACCTGACACGATTTTTAGTTGACAATTCTGGATCCCTTTTCTACAGCAGAATAATGGCTTCAGATAAAAAGGACAAGAAAAGAAGTAAATTTCCCAGTCTATTTTGTGAGCAATCCAATTACTAAAAGATGCTTCCTTTTTCCAAGTGCTTAGATGCCCACTCCAGTCAAGGACAAGACAGGTGTGAATAAGAACTTCTTATTTATCTGCAGATAATTCCCCAGTCTCCTTGACAACCAAGAATTTAGTGGAAATTTTAACATGGAGTACATGATACAGGATTGTCTCTGATCAGGAGAAGAAGAAAAGGTTCGCAAATTATATCCCTTGGAGCCAAGTTTACTATAGCAGTCTGGGCCTGCAATTACATACCACATTCAATTTTTCTAGGAGGGAACATGGGTTATAAAGAAAGGAAGGGACACTTTCAAAAGAAGCTTCATTGGAATGATAAACTCAGAAGTTCTTGTTCCACTTTGCTGAAGACAGTAAACTATTGTTAACAAGCCATTGAGGATAAGCGGCTGTGGGTTTAAGAAAACCACGGTGCACTCCTATCTAAGATGGCCATCTTCCCCTGAGCGCACAGTTTCAGGGTGGTCAATGGGGAAGAAAGAATTCTCACCTAGCCAGGCTGATCAGCCAAATCAACCCTGGTGATCAACGGGATGGCAGATGTTATAATTCGCTCAGCTTCCTTTTAATCATAATACTATTTCTTATTTCTGAAGTGTGGTTATGGAACTATGTCCAACTCTGGTCACTGACTGTCATGAAGACATCTTAATGTATCAGCACATATTTGGTTAAGCCCAGTCGTGCTTGGTTTTTCATCTTAAATTACAGGTGAATGAGACGGAATTTAAAATAACGCGGGTGGTACAGGTTTAAAAATGGTTTTACAGACAGCGGTGATAATTATATCATCTACGTCCACTCGTTACATTAAACTGAGGTTTATTTTAACCCTGTTTTGTTTCACAAGTCATAGAGTACTGGTTTTTAAATAAAATTAAGCCATATTTCATGGATTACTAATTATCCCACAATATATTAGGCCACAAGCAAAACAAATTGCATTATGGCTTAATGAGATGCATACACCCAACTTCAAGCAACTGAAGCATTCAGTTGCTGGAGAAGTGGGCGAGTGCACTATTTCCTGTGAACCTCCCAGAAGAATAAAGTTGGTCAGAGGGGGAGGAAAATGCTGGATAGACTGTGCTGTGGTCTGACCTCGGATGAGAAATGGGATCCGTTCATTTAGGGAGAAAAGGAAGGCAGAGAAATAATAGGGAAGTTTCAGGGAAGAGAAACTGAAGACGTTCCACAAGAAAAGATTGGTATACCATTGTGGCAGAACCGTCCCAAGATTAGAGCAAGCTTTGACAGGGGTTAGGGCTCCAACGTCCATAATGCCCAGCTTGTATCACCAACTGCAGTATGAAACGTTCCAGTGTGTGCTTCTGCGACCAACACCGTACCAAATGGAATGATCCCATCACGATCTTTTGTGCTTTCTCGATGCCATGTCCGTTTACCCACATACATTTCAGTGCAGACATTTGACAATAAATGCCTTTTAAATTGCACATCTGAAAGCAAACAGGCATTTGGGTACCCATTTCTTGTTTCGCTCTTAATTGCAGGTTAAAATCGGAACATGGAAATGAACTTAGGAGAAAGCTGAAGTATAAATGGCATGCTCCAAATTAGACTGATTTGGCAACTCTTATTCCAAATATAGCCACATCCAGCCCCCTCAGTTTCTAATCCCAGAAAAGATTCCGTGTTTAGAAACATCTGTTTCCATTCAGTCTGCTTCTTTTAGAACACAAGTGAGATCCAGTAATGTTCTTCCACCCAAGCTGGTCCTCTGATATCCTCAGATAAATGTTTGCTTGATGCCACCACACGTTTGCAAATGTATTAATAACCAAAATTATTAATAGGAGCAAAAAAAAGTGAGCTCACTTAACATCTAGCAATATGTAGCAATTGACAGTAGTTTTCTAGTAACTGAACAATTATTAGCTTCAGAACTATTTTGAACCATGGAGTATTTATTTGCGATTTGGGGATGATGCATAGTTAAAATCCCAACTGGAATGTGATTAAATCGTTTTCTTGGACATATGAATATTCTTTTATCAAAGCCACTGCACCTACTAATTTGCTCGCCTTATCTCTCCCCAACAAGATATATATTTTGAGTATAGTACATACTTAGCTGGGCTTGGCTGATCTCAAAAAGCAGAGTTATGAGTACATGGATGGGAAACTACTAGAAAATCCCAAGGCTTTAGGCTAGATTGGGAGGATGGGAAAAATTCGGCATTGGTGAAGCACTTTAGTGTTGTTTCCCGACCCCCCATGAACAAGTCCACCTCCATGTTGTAGACAGGAGATCGGGAAGTTTTCAAATATCCCCAAGATGGTAGAGCAAAAATAAACCTAGAAAGAGGAGGAACCTTTTGAGTATCTTCTATGCCAGAACATGAATGCCATGAGTATTGATTCCCCGGGGAAAATGGATTCTCCATCTGGATCAGCACCCAATCCCTCCATCAGAGAGTGAGGCATTTCTTAGACGGAAAACAGGGTCAGTTTGCTGGGCCCCAGCATCCACTGCCATTTGGTGGGCATCCTGGTGAACCCACCCGATTACGTTCATTTTGTCTTCCCCTTCTCATCAAACTCAGGAGCTGTTTCATCCTGCCAAAGTCACTGGGAAGGATATATTTGGTTTGAACTGCCATTCACCATGGGAGGAATGAAATGTTG